AATAAGTTGTTAATTATTACACTACATACAATTATTTAATTTCTGTAACATAAAGTTAAATTTAATTAAAGCAAAAATAATTTAATTTCAGTACAATAAAGTTAAATTTAGCGGAAAAAAGGTTAAGTTTAATATATAAAATAAAAAATCTACAAAAATCGATAACTCTAAAGACCACATGTTGATAGAGAATCTATAAAAATAAGTTTTAATCCGTAAAAATAATTTAAGTTCGGAAAAAATAATTTAAATTCAATAAAAATTATAATAATAAAAACAATTTTAGTTCTAATAAAAAAATAATTTTATTCAGCAAAAAAAAGTGATGTAAACGACATATTGTACCGTATAATCAGGTATCATATTTATTCATTTGCACGAATTTTTGCTCATCTGCTCAAAATGAGCAAATTTATTTTACAAAAAAAAGATGTTTTTCTACTGACTTTATTTACATGAAATAAGCAATTTTTTATTTTTTTTTTTATTTTTTGTGTATAACATTTATAAAATAAGACTCATTTCTCATTCTTCTTGTAATCTCTAAGTGTATAATACTCATTTTCTCTCACTAAATCCATTAGATTCATATCCTCTCGATGAATTAACTCTCTAAATACATAAGACTAGTTTTCTCTTTACCTTATCACTTTTGCATGATGAAAATCTTTCATTTTAGGCCAAGTTTGTTATTTTTGATTGGCACTTCATTCTCTTTTTTGTTTTTTCTTCTTTTTCGTTGTTAATAATTTTAATATTGTAAGATTCAATACCTAAATCAACAATTTCAAGTATACTTTTATTTTTTCTTTTTCGTTGATAGTTATGTGTAATTTGTAAAATGAGCCCATTATTAAATGGTTAATGACGAGCACAATTTTTTGCTCATTGTAGAAAATGAGCAAATATATCCAATTAAGCTCTTATTCTTGTTTACTCTCGTCAAAAAAAATAAAAAAAAAGGTTCTTATTCTAGTTTACTAACTATGTTATTTAAACTACAAACTGCACATAAACAAAATAAAGCTTTTATACGTACTTTCAAAAATCCAACCAAAATAAAATTTTCTATTTTCCAAACAAATACTATTTTTATACATTTTATTAGAAATGAGCAAAATTACTTATTTAAGTTTCTAACTATTATAAATTTTGTTCATTTAAGCCAAATGAGCAAATTTTACGACCAGTTGTATGATTCATGAGATGGATGTAAACAAGGATTAGATATTAGGCTATGTTTAGTTCAACTTATTTAGATAATTATTTAATTATTTTAGAACTAATCATATCATATTAGATTAGACCAAATCAAATCTAATCTTTTTATTTGTGTTCACTATCTTTATTTTCCGAATTACCAAAATTATGAAAAATTCAAATATGATAAGTAAACATTAATATGATACAATTTAGATCGTCTCAAATTAGTTGAACTAACATAACTTACCTTAGAATATTTTCTCTATTTCTAGCTTTTTACTTGTAACATTTTTTATTTGACGCTCATTATTTCAATCAATAATGTCTTTAAGGAGAATTTGTATTTTACAACCATTCAAAACACCATATATTGATTTAACAATCCGGTTTTTCGTTTATTTTATTTAACCACCTAGAAAAATGCAAAAACTTAAATTTCACCACCTCTTAACAATTTCCATTAATCGTTAAGCTATATATTCTTAAAAAATCATTGATTTACATGTCAAAACTTGCTTTATTAATATTTTGGGGATTACTTTGGCCCTTCACAATCCGATTTGATGTCAAAAACTAACAAAATTTATCGAAAATGCTTTGTTTGTGTGTGTCACGCAAACCTAGGTATTTTTTACTCCCTCCATTTCTGAAAGTGAGTTACATTTGTCATTTTAAGTGTTTTGTTGTCATGTTAAGTGTTTCCTTTTAATGGTTATGTTTCAATTAATTTCTAGATTAATGTAAATTTTTAATACACATTTCCTCTTATACAAACTTACTTAAGTTACTTCCAATGCAATTATTCTCATTTACGAACATTTAATTACCTACTCTCTATGCACATATATCTTTTTTTTTTTTTTTGAATAAAGATTGATTCATAAATAAAAAGTCATACGACATCTACAAAGAGATTTAAATCTAATAAATACATGACAATTGAATCAAATAAAAACATCCTTTTAGTAGATTTACAATCATTGTTGCAAATCGTACATTGTTCATACTCTCTTTCATATCGGTGTGATTTACAGCCTTCTTCGATAAGGGGGTCTATCGATTTGTTGTAGTCGTGAAAAATAATTTTGTCTGATTCATCTGATTATAATTGAAGGATTAACCTCTTTCTCGATCTCGCACAAATCTTTACCCATGAAACAACTTACTAAACTCAAAAACAAAAGCAAAATTAGAACAAAGCTCACCATAGGGGCACTTACTACACTCAAACCCACTATAGAGGTACTTATTGCCTTCAAAGAGTGTAAATTGATTAAAGTCTATAACAAAAACATAAAGAAACTAAAGGGAAAGGGTCGGAAATAGCCAAATTTCCGGAGAAATTAAACTATTTTCGGCCTATGAAATGCTTTTTTTTTTTGAAGAACCTAGAGAGAAAAAAATAGAGAAGAGACGACTAGGTTTTTTTTATTTTTATTTATTTATTTATTTATTATATATATCCTCTATGCACATATTCCTATTTACATAAATATCTACCTATTTCCAACACAAATATTTTTATTTCCAACATTGAATTAATGTCTTAATACTTGATATATGTGATATCTAATCATTGATTTTTACTATTTTATTTACCTTAATAACCGTGTACATTATCAAATGTAACCTTTTTCAGGAATGGCGGGAGTAGCACGCAAAATGAGGTATTTCTTTTTAAAAACAAATTTTGACCTCAAGTCGGATCTTGAAGGCCAACCTTATACAGCAAGTGTTCGGCACAAAATTAATGTTTTTTTCAAACAAGAACTTAACTGGCTCTGTTTTCCTTAACGGAAAATGTGACGAGGTGGTGAAATATAATTTCTTTCGTTTTTGTAGTTGGTTTGGTAAAATAAACGAAAAAAGGGATAACAAAATAAAATAAAAATTATATATATAAAAAATGATTATTTTGATGGAAACAAATCTAACAAAAACTAGCTATATTTTTTGATAGAGAGTGTGAGATAGCTAAGTAGGTTTAGAGCTTCCCTCCTAATTTCAGGGTTCTTGGGATCAACTCTCACCAATTGCTCCCATTTAAAAATAGAGTGAGAGAATCTTTTGAAAGAGTCAAAGTATAACATCTAAATAGTGCATGGGCGTAATTATATTATTACCTCCGATTCAAATTATTTGTAATGATAATACGTTTTCTACTCACAATTTGCATTGTTGAAATTATTTGAAATAAAGGTAGCATTAAAGGAAGAGAATAACGTCTTGACATAAAGTTGAATTAAACATACTCGTAGTTCTAATCTTTTAAATTATGATGACAAAAAAGTTAAATAGGTTTCTCACCTCATCTTCATTATCAATAAGTGTAATTAATCGTAGAAACAGTATGAGATACGTGGCTTAATTATATCCTAAAACAACGTCTGATGCAGCATCAAATATCGTTGCATCTCCCGGGGTCATGTCAGCATGGTCCAGAACTTTATTTGACGGTGAATTTCATTTTCTTTGTTAATCTGTTCATCATTTAATTTAATTTAATTAAATATCCCCCATTATTATACCCGTAGCAACTAACATGGGTTGTAGTGCAAGTGCTATAATTATACAAGATTTTGGCATCTGTTCTTATCAAACAAAAAACACCATCTCGATATGCCTCCACAAAATTGAATAATAAACATGTGTTTAACTGCTACTCCGTACAATTAGAGACAAACAAGAGTTGGCTCAAATGGTAAGCAACTTGATATCGTTTAAGGAATGTCTCGAGTTCGAGCCTCACTGTATGTTGAAACTCTTATTGAGATGCTCACTCACCATAAGCCAGGTGTGCAACCCAAATCGAATTCGAATATAGTCGGAGCTTAGCTCCGACGAACCGGGTGGGCATCCTAAAACAAAAAACTATTACAATTATGGTCGAGCATGACCAAGACAATGGGATCGATCCAACAAGAAAAGGAGAAGTTGTGTTGTTTTAAACTCATGTTTTTTGTAAATGGATCATGCACAACCCGAATTATGTGTCATGTGACTGATGTGAAGGACTGAGGCATAAGGGTTTAGCTATGCCTTCGTTCAATTTCTTTGTTAACGTTAACCGGTTAAAAATAAGTGGGCTGATGCGTGGGCTAGCTCTCGTTCTATTATTGGGCTCTTGCCAAATTTTGATTGACATCCATGAATGGTCTATGGCCCACTCATGTGACATGTCCGGCTTACGTTGGGCTTCAACTGCGTCGAGTCAATTTTGTGTACGTCAAACCAGGCGGCAAACAACTTGTTTACTGACTCAATCCATGTACGCCCTAACTCCGCTAAAAGTAGATATTATAACTCCCACTATACGAATCGAAGTGGTTTTTTGCACAACTTTCAATTCACATATTTAAGTATCAATGTCTTTACCAAATATTTCCTTTTTTTTTTCTAACAAGAATTCCTCCATTTTACTAAACATGACCATTATATACACCGAACTCTCATAACAATGTATAAGCTTAATATTATACCATTTAGCAAGGAGATGCTCGTGTCATAAAAAAAAAATTAAATAAAAATAAAAAGAGGAAAAAAGCAAGGAAATGTAGAATAATACTTCCTCCGTTTTTTTTAATTGCACCATTTGGGATTTTACACTATTCAGACAACCTTCTTTTACCCTCTTTCGTGATTTATCCATAAGGAAAAATAGTCATGTGAGATATCGTTAGATTCGTCTCAACGTCTAATCTTTAAATATCAAATTTTTATAATTTTTACTTAAATACAATTAAAGATATTAATGACCAAAGTATTGCATCAAAATGACAAATGGTGCAATAAAAAAAAAGGGGAGGAATTAATAGACAATCATGATTTGTCAAGAACTCCATATATAGTTGAGATGTATGTAATCTCGAAAACCAGGAAATATGTCAAAAAGACAATACAAAATACAATGTTGTTAAAAATGTCAACAAATTAAATCTTCAAATAAGTATGATTAGGACAATAATTAAATAATTAACGTATAAAAGGGGTTCGGGCTAGCTTAGAACTCTTAGTTAAAGCTGCTGCAAACTTTCCTAATTTCACCTTGACTGCCTGTAAGAACCTCAACAGCTTGCAGCTTGATCATGACTTCTGCCTTCCTAATGTTGAACAATGTACTATTTTGCGACAAAGCCGAAACGAAGGCAGAACTTGCAGGATCACGGGACAATTCTTGATCGAGTTTGAGAACTCCCCGGTTTCCGATGAGCTCACCGTAGAAACGGTTGTTCAATGTGTTGTTGTTGGTAAAATCTTGGTTAAGGAGAGCGATGTTGTTGGTTGTATCTTGGTTTTGAGGACAAACTTTTCTTAACTTGTTTAGAAGGCTTAGGTCCATCTCTGAGTCGAATTCGCCGGTGTCTTCGTAGAGCCGTTTTTCGAAGAATTTACAGTGTGCATTTCCAACAGAGTGGTAACCTAAAAGAAAATTTCACGAGTCACAACTAAACTACTTCAAATGACGTGCCAAAATATGTATTGCAACTTACAAGTAATGAAATATATATTTACTTTTAGTTAACATAATTTATTGAGTGGAAACATTAATCTCTTAGCTTTTTTTGGGACGATATTCTTTTCAGATTTGTAACTCCTTTTTATATGGATCGAAGTAACTAATACAAATGAATATTTGGGATTATAATTTTAGAATTTTGTTGTCTATTTTTTTTTTTTCTTTTTTTGAAGGGAGTTTTTTGTTGTCTATTTAATATAACATAAAATAATTTTTTAGGACCTATAATTTTAAGTTCATCATATAAGTGTATAACCTATTCTAAGAGATAACGGTGAAAAGAGAAAATAATAAGGTAGTAACAATACCTAGAAGGATAACCATCTCTTCGACGGTGAAGTTCTTGGCTGCGAATACAGCAGCAGCTTCCTCGACGGTCATGGAAGGATTTGGAAGGTTCACATCTGCGGAAATGGAAACAAGTCCATCCCTACGTCCTGTTTCTACGGGAAAGTCAAGTCCTCCTCCCTGTTTAATAGAAGCTAATTAGTGTTAACGGACATTTTAAATTAATGTTGATGTTTACTCTTAAAATTAAAATTAAAACCTAGGGGAGATGATGTGTTAGATATTTTAAAAGTACAAATTTACCAGCCTAATAAGCACTTTAGTAGCAACAGCAATAATGTCAGCACAAGAGACAACACCAGGACATTCTGATTCGATTGCGGTCTTCAATTTTTCGATAAATTCATATCCCCTTACACCACCATTAGAGTCTGAAGTCTTCTCAGTTGATGTTCCGTCGATAAGGATGGATGCATCACAACCCTTCACACGATAACAAAAAATACAAATTAGTCACATTATATACATTCATTATACGTACCATGATTGGCATGATATATAGATAGCTAATTAAGGATCCATTTTATGATAAGATAACCTAATTAGAATGAAATGATGATGAATGAACGGAATTATCCACTTATTCATAAGAATAAGTACTTCCATCAAGATATAATATTTTCGTTATCTAAGCCATACCCTCATATGTACGTAAGATTATTTATTAAGATGAGGCTAATCAACTCTTTATATATATATAAAGGATGTGTATGGAAATCTAAACATAATTTTAATATAGAAATTGTGGCAAATTCCTAAGATTTTATAAAATGATATACGTAAATATTAATTATACTCGAATCAAAAGTGTATGAGAATATAACATTGGAACTTACATGGACAAAACAATCATGAAACTGGAGACGAAGAAGGGCAGGAAGAATAGTAGGATCCTGATCAAACTCCTCTTGGCAAAGGACATCAATGATGTCCTCAACATCAGAATTGCATTTGTCATCGTAGAAACCAACAACCAAACCAGAAGTAGCAGTCGTGGAAAACCAAAATGGACCTGAACGTCTAGAACTCATAGAAGGACCGGGAGCAGGAGCCAGTGCAGGACCAAAGCTGGGTGACAATGCGGGAGAGTCACCCATTGGTTGTTCTTTTGAAGGTTTTGAAAAGGGATTCTCTACTTTGACGCCAAAGATAGTAGCACATTGAGCCATTGGTGTTGAAACCAAGACTAGCCCTAGGGTTAGCATGACTAGCCCAAAATTTGCATGAAGCTTCATTTTTTTTTTCTTGTTTTCTTGTATTTTTAAATTTTTTTTTCAGCTCCTTCGAGGAACTAGTAGATAATATTAGAGCTTTAATATGGAGGTAGATGTTGTAGTATGATGTTATGCATGCAATATATATGATGATGATATAGAAAGAATAGTTTTTCAAAAAAAAAAAAAAAAAAAAAAAAAAACAAAAGTGATGGATCGTTAAATAAAGTGGTATGCACGACTCCACTATTCATGTTATTTTAGACGTGCAATGGAGTATTTTTAAAAGGACGGCTAGCTTTGAGTTCTTCCACTTCTCATAATAATGTTTCTATCATTCCTATGAATGTGATCTAATTACATAACGATTGATGTTGATTTGTGAGGGATTCATAGAATGAGCACATCAATTATTGGATACATTTTTTTATTTTTTATTCATGAGTTATGATATTTGAAATCTAATTAAGCAGTATTTTTTTTATCTAAAAGGACAAAAAGAAATTAGATAGTCAATTATTGACCCATCATTTGACCTATTACATAAACTTTTATACATAACCGTTAATTAAATCAAAGGGCTTATTCTTATAACCAAATAATTTAAGATATTCAGGACAATAAGTTATCATCAATTAATTTAAGTTAAGTTCGTAAAAAATAAGATAAAGTAAGAAATAATTTACGAAAACTATTGTTCTCTTCAGATTATCAATTTTTGTTAAGACTAATTTTAGATTAATTATAACAAATCTTTGTACCTACCTGCAATAACATTTTAAAGTAATAACCTTATATGACCTTTTTCGCCAGTTTGGAATTAGTTTATAGTTGTATTTATATAATTATTGTCGTACTAAATTCTACATGTATAGACGTGTTGGACTTACCATGTTAAATCTCAAAATAGTTTATTCTTCCATTGATAAATTGTCCCTTTTCAAAGGTTAATTAAATCACCGAGTTTGACCTCAAATAGATGATGTGGAGAGCTCATTTGTGAAAGGGTTTTATATAAGTAAACAAAACCAGATTATTCGTTAGAGTTAACAAGAAAAAGACCCGGTCTATTTCGTCAACGGTAATGTTGAATTGGGCCAGGTTACCGACATTACAATTAAATATCAAATTTATTTCTATTATTGGGAGATGACAATCCAATCCAAAGGCCCATGATTTTTTTATTTTTATTTTTAAAACAAGATAAAATTAAGCCATATTTCAAATATTATTACTTTCTCTATATTTTTTTTTAAACATGTCTAATATAAATGAAATCTATTACTTCCTCCATTTCATATTAGATGACATAATTCAATTAGGCACATTTACCAATGCATACTTTGTAATGCAAACATCCTTAATTATACATATTAGCAAAAATTACAAATATTAAAGAAGATGTTGAGACGAATCTTACAAGACCCCACATGACTATATATACTTTTCCCTAATACAAAATCACAAAACGAAGTCAAAACAAATTATGTGAATAGTGCACGAAGTCAAATTGCGTCATCTAATTTGGAGCGGAAAAAGTATGAAATTAAAGCGGATCAATTAATTTATTTTTTTATCAATTCATTAATCAAAAGCCATACAACATCTACAAATGAAATCTAAATCAACAAATACATAAAATTGAACCAAATAAGGGTTTCTTTCATCAAAGCTACGATCGTTGAATAGATCTTGCACTGTGGTACATCTCTTGCATACATCGCTGGAATATACAGCCTTTTCGGAGAGACGGTCTAACGATTTATTGTAGCTTTAAGGGTGATTTTCATCTTATTCACTTGAACGCCTTTGAAGATTTGACAACCGTTGCGATCCCGGACAACTCTTTACCAACGAACTGTTAATAGGGTAAAAGATGATTACCTTTTTAATAAACCCTAACACACAAAATAACCCTAACAAAAAAAAAACAACAAAGCTAACAAAAACTAACGACTCCAACATAGGAAGACAGACGAATATCTACACTACTCGTGTAGATTTATAGAAAACTAAATTGCAAAACTAAAAAATTTAAGGGAAAAGGTCGGAAATAGTCTAATTTCTGAATAAATTAGACTATTTCCGACCTAAACGACTAAGAATTTGGAGAAATCCTAGAAGAGGAGAGGAGAGGCAAGGCAAGGCAAGGCGAGAGTTTCAAATAGAGTAGTGGAACGGGAAAACAAGTGGATCAATTAATTTAGGGCTTGTTTGTAATTTTTTTTTATTTTTTTATTTATTTTTTTTAAAAAAAAAAGAAAAACAAAAAACCAAAAGGTAAAAAATAACTTTATATATAGTTAATACGTTGGCATTGTTGGGATCAATTTCTTTATTTAACTTGTATTAAAAAGTCATACTTCGTACAACTTTTATTCTAGTATTAGATAAAATTTACATACTCAATACACAATTTAGCTCACAAGCCCACATAAATCACACAAAAAACGTGCAATATTAACTACACCAATTGGGGCAAAACTGATACGTGAATGCATTAACTAAGAAATAAGAATTTCGAGGCTATGCCTATATGGGAGTATGGCTATGTACTCTTTGTAATTTGTCTCACTTCAAATAATAATAGCTAGTAGATAACATTTTGTACTCGTGAGTTTCGACTCTTAGAGTCTTATATTAATCTACCTTACTACAAACCTTTCTTATTTGGCCTTGATCGCCAAGGTGGACGTCAAGGGCTTGCATTTTAACCATAACACTTACCAATTTTGCACTGAATAAGGCAGCATTTCGAGCAAATCTTAGAACAAAGCCTCTAGTTCGAGGATCACGAGCTAACTCTTGGTCAATTTCGAGGATTCCTCGCTGCTTGAGAATTTGATCAAAGAAAGAGTTGTCAAAATTGTTTGAGCTTTGTGAATTTTGATCAAGAAAGGTGAAGTTGTTTGAATTGGTGCCTTGAGGACAAGTAGGAATCAATTGTCGGCGAAGGTTTGGATCCATTTTTGGGTCAAATTCGCTTGTCCCTTGGTACAAACGATCTTGAAAGAAAATACATTGCGAAATTCCAACCGTGTGTGCACCTGATTCAAAGAGCATTATTATTATTGTAACAACATAGATGACTAATTCAGGTCCCATACAACATATGATATTCATTCATTTCAAGAAAGTTATTTAAAATAAAGTTATAATGGTTGAAGGATAAAATTTGTTGTACGGTCAACAACATCAAACAAGTTAGGTTGTTTCAATCCGTGGTTGTAGTAATAGTCAAATAGTGTACTTGTTGATATTGTTTTGCAATTTGCATTGAACATTATCACTTTACCGATTGGGTTTAACAGTGAAAAAAACTTCATACTTTAATTTCCTTCTCACCATTTGTACCAAACTTCATAAAAAAATGTGTACATCCCATGTTCTAATTTACTTTAATTTCCTTCTAACCATTTTTTTTTTTTGGATACACCATCAACTTCCTCTTCTAACTCATCTTCTCCCTCAGAAAGATCAGCCACACTTTTGGCCTCATCTTCTTCAACAACATTTGATTCCCCCTCAGTTTGTTCCCTCGGGTTGTTAACAAAAATTGTTACACCATTTTCTACTTTATGACTCAAGGTGGACGATCATTAATGCAGGGAAATTAATTTGCATGTATTGGCTAAGAAGAAGATAATTGAAGGTGGGTGTTGATTGGGTTTTTACGAGGGGGTTTTTATAGAGGTTTGGTGGTAATTTGAAAAGGTGAAGATGGTTTGATGGGAAGTGACGGTTGGGTAATTTTGAGTAGTGGGATGATTTTGTGATTTATTTTAACAATGAATAAAAAATTAAAAGATAAAATTGAAAGTGAAAGATAAAATCTAATTGAGAAAAATAAGGAAAAATCTTTTTGTTGTTTTTTATTTTAAAGATAACAGAAAAAGATAACAATAAAAAATAAAAAAAATTTACAAAAGAAATAAAATTCCAGTAAGTTACTCAAAGTATTTTACTAGTTAACATGTACAGAAGTTTACAATTTTATGAAGAGGAACTTGGAAAATAACATGGCTCAATTTGTCTTCTTCATCAACATAATCATATGATCACACACTCAATAGAATTGCACACTCTTTCATTGCAAGATTCGAGATTGTGTTTTCACACCAAGGTTATCTATAGCAATGCTCAGTCGTTTTACTAAGACATACCTTGGGGTTCCAAGAAGAACTGCTCAGTTCAGCTTTATCATTCCGAGTTCCAATCGCATCTTTTCGAATTTTTCTCTACTCAAAGGCTTTGTTAGAATGTCAGCAATTTGATATTCAGTTTGTACAAATTCTAATCTTATAGAGCCTTTTTCCACATTATCTTTTAGGAAATGATGCCTAACATGAATATGCTTTACACGTGAATGATGTACTGGATCTTTTGATATGCAAATAGCACTTGTATTATCACAGTATTGGAACACATTCAAGAACTATGCCAAAATCATGTAATTGTTATTTTATCCACAACAGTTGTGAGCAACATGCAGCGGCTGCTACGTATTCTGCTTCTGTTGTGGATAGAGCAACTGTGTTCTGTTTCTTGGAACTCCAAGAAACTAAACAAGATCCTAGGAATCGGACCATACCTGATGTACTTTTTCTATTCACCAAATCCCCAGCATAGTCGGCATCGGCAAACCCATTAAGATCGTATGTGTCACTTCTTGGGTAGAATAAACTTAAGTCGTCAGTTCCTTTGAGATATCTGAGTATTCTCTTGACGGCTGTTAGATGCGATTCTTTGGGGTTTGATTGGAACCTAGCACACAGACCAACACTAAAAGAAATGTCAGGTCTACTTGTAGTTAAGTATAGTAAGGAACCAATCATACCTCTGTACTTTGCCTGGTCCACACAAGTTCCTGAGGGATCTTCGTCTAATCTAGAGTTAGTTCCCATAGGTGTATGGTTAATCTTTGCGCTGTCAAGGTTGTACTTTTTTAGGAGTTCCTTGACATATTTTTGCTAATGTATGAATATTCCTGGTTCTGTTTGATTGATCTGCAGTCCGAAAAAGAAGTTGAGTTCCCCCATCATGCTCATTTGGAACTCACTGCACATCAAGTCAGCAAAGTACTTGCACAAAGATTCGTTAGTTGCACCAAATATAATATCATCAACATAGATCTGTACAACTAAAAGATGAGTTCCTTTAGATTTTAAAAACAAAGTTTTATCAATTTTTCCTCGTTTAAAATCATTTTCCAAAAGGAACTTGGACAGTCTTTCGTACCATGCTCTTGGATCTTGTTTTAGCCCGTAGAGAGCCGTATCAAGTTTAAAAACATGGTTAGGAAAGTTTGGATTCTCAAATCCAGGGGGTTGATCGACGTAAACTATTTCTTTTAATAGGCCATTTAAAAAAGCACACTTTACGTCCATCTGATATAGTTTAAAACCCATAAAAGCAGCAAAGGATATTAATATTCTAATAGCCTCAAGTGTAGCAATAGGAGAAAATGTTTCCTCAAAATCAATTCCTTCCTGTTGGTTATAACCCTTTACAACCAACCTAGCTTTATTTCTTACAATTGTACCATATTCATCAAGTTTGTTTCTAAAGACCCATTTTAAACCTATAACCTTTTTATCTAATGGGTTAGGTTCAAGATGCCATACCTGATTTCTTTCAAATTCATTCAGTTCCTCTTGCATGGCAATAATCCAATCGGGGTCCTCTAAGGCTTCTTTATGGTTGCGAGGTTCCAGAGTTGATAGAAAAGCGTTGAGGGCACAGAAGTTCCTCATTTGTGATCTCGTCTGAGTTCCTTTGCTCAAGTCACTGATAATTTTGTCCAGAGTTGATAGAAACTTCTGAGCCAGTTGCTTCTTCTACTTCATTTTCTCCTTGATTTGGAACCTCGGCAGTATCTTCATTTTGAGGTTGTTCATGCGAAGGAACTTCAGTATGTACATCGTGTTCCTCCTCTTGATTTTCAATCACTCGAGTTGGCTGCTTATTTGTTAAAACTGCATCTTCTTCATGCTCTTGAGGACGTACTAGACCAATTTCAAAATCATAGTCCTCATGTTCCTGTGTACATGGAAAAGGATTAGTTTCATCGAAAATAATATGTACACTTTCCTCAACACACATAGTACATTTATTGTAAACTCTATATGCTTTACTGTTAGTAGCATAACCAAGATAAACGGCTTCATCACTCCTTTCATCAAATTTCCCTATGTTCCTTTTACCATTATTATGCACAAAACATTTACAACCAAATGCTCTCAGATGAGATATATTCGGTTTTCTGCCTTTCATAAGTTCATAGGGTGTCTTATTTAAAATAGGTCTTAGCATGACACGATTGATCATATAACAGGCTGTATTCACGGCTTCTGCCCAGAAGTTCCTTGGAAGATCGTTGGCTATTAACATAGTTCAATCCATGTATTCTAAGGTCCTGTTCTTCCTTTCAACAACTCCATTTTGCTGTGGAGTTCTAGGAGCTGAGAAATTATGACTTAAGCCTTGTTCCCTGCATAAATCATCAAATTTATAATTTTCAAATTCAGTGTCATGATCGGATCTAAGATGTATCAGTTGATGACCTGTGGACTTTTGAATTCTCCTGGAAAATGTAACAAACTCGTCAAAAGTCTCATCTTTACTAGATAGAAAAATAACCCATGTGAATCTAGAATAATCATCAACCATGACTAAGACATATTTCTTTCCACTTCTAATTTGAATTCTCATAGGACCACATAAATCCATATGAATTAACTCTAAAGGTTTCGTGGAACTCACCATCTTCTTGGATTTAAAGGATGTCCTGACCTGCTTTCCTTTCACACAAGCATCACAAATTTTGTCACATAGGAACTTGATTGAAGGAAGTCCCTCTACCAAGTTCCTTGTTCTCAACTTATCAATTAAGGAAAAACTTGCATGACCAAAGCGTTTATGCCACAGTAAAGGATCATCCTCAATGACACTGAGGCAGGTTAAGTTGTTCCTTGGAACTGTATTAAGATCCACTATGTAAGTGTTTCCTTTCCGAGTTCCTTCAAACAAAACCTTCCCTGTGTCATTTTGTATGATACTGCATTTTTCTGAATCAAAGCTTACAAAGTTACCTTTATCACAGAATTGTGATATGCTGTGTTTGAGGCCCTCGACTAGAAAGACATTATCAATAGCTTGGGAACTTGACCTTCCAACTTTTCCTATGGCAACAATGCTACCTTTCTTATTATCACCAAAGGTCACACACTACAAGAAAAAGGCCAGATTCCGACGGACATCTTCTGACGGACACAAAATTCCGTTGGAAATCCTGTATATTCCGGCGGATTTTTATTCCGTCGGAAAGTTCCGACGGATTTCCTACGGAATAAAAATCCCTCGGAATTTATGGGCTTTCCAACGGAATATTTCGTCAGAAAATATATTTTCCGACGGAAATAAAATCCGTCGGAAGTGTCCGACGGATTTTTCCGTCGATACAATGATTTTCCGACAGAATTAAAATCTGTCGGAAATTTCCGACGGAATATTCCATCGGAAAATTAAGTTTCCGACAGAATATTCCGTCGGAATAGTATTTAAAAAAAAACCAAAAAAAACAAACCCTTACATATTTGCGGAATAAAAAATAAAAAAAAATAAAAAAAAAACTAAACCCTAAAACCGGTTCCCCTCCCCCAACCCTATTCAATTCTCTTTCCTCTCCTTCTCTTTCTCTCTCCTCTCTTCTTCTCTTTCCCCTTCTCTTTTTCTCATTCTCCTTCTCCTCCTTCTCTCCTCTTCTTCCTCATTCCTTTCTCCTTCTCCTCTTTCTCCTTCTTTCTTTGTATTCATCAACATCAACAACGAACCGCAACAACAACAACCGGAACAACAACAACCGCAACATCAACAACGAACCGCAACAACAACACCTTCAACCGTTCGTTCAAGCAAATTCGTTCGTTGTTCAAGCAAATTCAAGTTTCAAATTCAAGTAAATTCGTTCGTTGTTTTTACATTTTGTAATTTTTTTTTGTTAATTTGCATAGATCTGTTATATTTGGTTTCGATTTGTATTTGTTCATTTGCTTAATGTGTATGGATTTGTTTTGGTTTCAATTTATTTTGTTTCGAGTATAATTTTGTGATCTTTATTGGTTTAAATTGGCTTAGATCTGTTTTTTTCAAAATTTTTCGTTTTTTTAATTTTTTTTCCCGATTTGGGCTGGTTGGTTCAGCTGGGTGGGGTGGTTACGGTGGGTGATTACGGTGTGGGGTGGGTGGGGTGGGTGGAAGGTGGTTACGGTGTGGGGTGGGTGGAAGGTGGTTACGGTGGGTGGGCTGGGTGGTTACGGTGGGTGGGTGGGCTGGGTGGAATGGGGATATGGTTTGTTACGGGGTGGGGTGGGTGTGGGTGTGGGTGGGGGTTGTGGGGCGTGGGGCAGGGGGCAGGGGGCAGGGCAGGGCAGGGGGTAGATGGAAGGGGGCAGATGGCAGGGGGCAGGGCAGGGGGTGGTGGGCGTGGGGGGTGGCTTTTTTTTTTATTTTTTTTTATTCAATTTTCCGACGGAAATTTCCGTTGGAAACAGTATATTCCGACGAAAATTTCCGTTCGAATATTCCCCTTCCGACGGAATATTCCGTCGGAATCCACTTCAGCTCCGACGGAAAATTCCGTCGGAACTTTGCGACGGGATTTCAGATAAAGTCAAAACCAGCTTCGACTGAATGTATTCCGTCGGAAATTCCGTCGGAAAAGTGGCTTCCGACGGAATTTCCCTCGGAAAACGTCGAATTTCCGACAAGGGCTGTTCCGAGAGACAGTTTCCGACGGAAATCCGTTGGAAGGCCGTTTTCCGACGGATTTTACCCTGTTTTCGAGGAAAAATTCCGTCGGAATTCAGCTGTTTTCTTGTAGTGACAGTTCCTCCTGTATAGGCTGTCAGTGAGAGAAATCTAGTTTTGTCTCCTGTCATGTGCTTAGAACAACCACTATCGAGGTACCATTGGTTGTTCCCCCTCACTTCGACCTCATCATGACGATTTACTGTTTCATCGTGCTTAGCCATCAAGCAGAGATTGGCTGTTTCTTCTTCAGTAGGTTCCTCTTCCTCTTCGGAACTTGATAGCCATAGCATTGATTTCCAATTTTTCGAAGTCTGATAATTTTCGGCCTTTATAGAGATCTCCATCTTCGTCTTCCAGTAAGCATAATACTTCCCATTGAAGAGTGGAGGGTGTTGGGTTGAGTATCCTTCTGCTAATCTTTCATCTTTCGACATCGTTCCTCCAGGAACTTGACTCGACAGGGTTTCCTGCTATACGGAGTTCCTTGCTCTGATACCAATTGATAGAACAATGTCTACTACAAGAGGGGGGTGAATTGTAGACTATAGAAAATTTTGCGGAATTAAACTATCTACTAAGAGAGAAGACACTCGAGATAAGCAATAAAAAATTTCACTATGTAAAGATGAATTACAATCGCTAATATTCTGCGTAGACTCAAGTTCCGTGAGAAACTCAAGTTTCCCAAACTACTATCCCTCAATCGCAGTTTCACTCTCTTTGTGATTCTACTCCGAATCACTTGTACAGTATGAAGAACTCTCTCAAGCCTCACAATTTACAACTCTTACAACCCCAATCCCAATTACACAGTAATTACACAGTAATTACACAGTAAAACTTAAGGGACTTAAGGATGGAAGGAACTCTGATTTCAAAACACTTAGAAACTTTTACGCTCAGAAAACTTAAGTTGTTTTTCTACACTTTAAAATGACAACGTTGATCCTTTTTTATAGAGAGAATATTCAAGCTTCCATCAAGTTCCCACTTCCCCCTCAATCCCACGTTCACCTTAACTGGGAAGTTGGGAAGTAAGTGGGAGAAGTTGAGGAACACTGATGCGGAAACGGATATGGGTTAAGGTGTTTGAGTGATGGGTTATGTGTTTAGGCTAGGTGCTCCTGTGGGAACTGGGTAAGGAAAGAACGAAGTTCCTGACAACGAGGAACTCGGGGTTTGATTAGCAAGGAACACTCGCAATACTAATCAAGGATAAGTATGGTTAGAGTTGAACACTCACTCCACTAACCATAAACAAGCTAATCCCGAACACTCCGGATTAAACTCACAAACTCGAATCCACGAGTTCAAGCTAAACTTGAATCCACAAGTTTAAAACAAATAAGACATAAAAATATCTTGAGTTGTTGTATTTCATTAAAAGTTTGATAGATGAATGAATTGCAACCTAGAATAAAACTTCCTTTTATACGCTAAGGAAGTAGCTAGTTACATTAATTAACCATTAACTAACATAATTAAAAAGGAACTTTAAAAGTCTCCAACAAAGAACTCAAAAAGTCACCAGGGATACTCTGTGTAACGTTTCCCTTGGAAAATCGTTACATAATAAAGACTAGTAACTACCGAAGTTCCTTTAGGTGAGTTCCTGAAGGAACTCGCTGCAGCTGCGTCCAGCTTCTTCCTTGTAACGGCTGACTGTTACAACCTTATTACAACAACTATAAATTTAGCTAATTACTCCTAGCAACTGAAAATTAAACATATAATTAACTAGTAATAACAAGCAATAAAACTAAGGAGTTTTAAGCTCCAAGAGTGACATCCAAAAGGGTGTGTAACATCCCTCTTAAATGCCCCATCAAAACCGAGCGTAACCTCTTCTTTATTCTCTTGCTTTGGCTGCCTCCTAAACAACAAGTATCCAAGAAGATCCTTTCCCCAAAGCAAAGAAAGAATCCAAGGCATCCAAGTAAACACCTTCTACGCCTAGTCATCTATCCAAGTCAAGCATTACTTGTATAATGACGAAGCAACATCAAAGCCCATGCGTTGCACTTTGTCTAACTTGGACCCATGAACGAACAACCCACGGACAATAGGAACTTGATCCTTTTGGACCCTTGAAAGTGTGTTTGGCCCTTTTGAATTGTTAGGTTCATTGGCTTGTATGAGTTCCGGATCATGGACACGTTCACCTTAACTGGGAAGTTGGGATGTAAGTGGGAGAAGTTGAGGAACACGATTTCACTAGCTTGACTCCCAAGTTCAACGTGCTTCCTTAATTTAAGCAAACAGTATTTTACTGAGTCAAAAATCAGTTAATGATTTATTAAAAAGATAATTATTTATTATTTAAAAGGATAACTAAATAATTAATTAATTTAAAAACTTATCATTTAAATTAAAGAATTATTAGATAATTTTATTTATTTATAAAATTAATCTTTTCAAAACTGATTTTATCTCTTCCTTAAATTAAGGGTTTTCAAAACCATTTTAAAACTTATCGTTTAAAACTTTTCTGAGTCAACGTCAAGTTCCTTCAGGAACTTCGAGTTTCTCAAGGATTCCTTCCAACACTTTTATTTCTTAAGTTCGTACACTGAATAACTAAGTATCTAGAGTTGTGAGGATCTCTTGAAAGCTTGCATTCATCGTCAAGTCTTCCAAACTCTGTTGTTCCTACTCCGGTACATAATGCTTTAAACCTGAATCTTCTGTTTTAACCAAGACTCATAAACACCATTAGTCAGAGTTTGTTTTATGTAAGTCAATCATCAAAATACAAGGTAGTCAATTCAACAAAGGGCTTGCATTTTAACCATAACACTTACAAATTTTGCATTGAATAAGGCAGCATTTCGAGCAAATCTTAGAACAAAGCCTCTAGTTCAAGGATCACGAACTAAATCTTGGTCAATTTTGAGGATTCTTCGCTGCTTGAGAATTTGATCAAAGAAAGAACTGTCAAATTTGTTTGAGCTTTGTGAATTTTGATCAAGAAAGGTGAAGTTGTTTGAATTGGTGCCTTGAGGACAAGTAGGAATCAATTGTCGGCGAAGGTTTGGATCCATTTTTGGGTCAAATTCGCTTGTCCCTTGGTACAAACGATCTTGAAAGAAATTACATTGTGAAATTCCAACCGTGTGTGTACCTGATTCAAAGAGCATTATTATTATTGTAACAACATAGATGACTAATTCAGGTCCCATACAACATATGATATTCATTCATTTCAAGAAAGTTATTTAAAATAAAGTTATAATGGTTGAAGGATAAAATTTATTGTACGGTCACAAATTTGTTGTACGGTCAACAACATCAAACAAATTAGGTTGTTTCAAGCCGTGGTTGTAGTAATAGTCAAATAGTGTACTTGTTGATATTGTTTTGCAATTTGCATTGAACATTATCACTTTACCGATTGGCTTTAACGGTGAAAAAAACTTCATACTTTAATTTTCTTCTAACCATTTGCACCAAACTTCATAAAAAAATGTGTACATCCCATGTTCTAATTTACTTTCCTTCTAACTAGTTTGTGAAGATTATTTTATATTTTATATTTTATTTTTAGAAACAAAGTTTGTAAAGATTATTAATTTCTTTTGATCTGCAAAGTTTAAAAAAAAATTACATTACAAACTAACACGATAAAGTAAATAATGAACTTACCAAAAAGAGCAACCATTTCTTCTGGAGAAAAGTTTTTGTCACCAAAGGCTAATATACTTTGTCTGACAGATCCGAAGGGGCTTGGTAGGCTCACATCTTGGGCTTCAGATATAAGTCCATCTCTTCTCCCGGTTTGTACTAAATAATCTGGTCCTCCACCCTATTAAAATATAAAAATCCATAAATATGTATAATTAATTTTTGATTTTTTGAAGATTGACAAAATTATCAAGCAATTTGATAAACAACGTTGAGAAATAATTTAAGAGCATGATATATTTAACTTACCATCTTGATAAGCTTTTTAGTAGCAATAGCGATGATATCAGCGCAAGAAACAACCCCTGTGCATTCTTCTTCTGCTATATCCTTCAAAGAGTCAATAAACTTGTTTCCTCTAACACTCAAATTAGGGCCAGCAAATTTCTCAGTCGAAGGTCCATAAAATAAGATTGATGCGTCACATCCCTTATTGAATCAAACATGAAATAGTTAGTTAGTTTTATTAAATAACCATATAATAATAACAATAACAACAACAACAACAACAACAACAATAATAATAATAATAATAATAATAATAATGAAAAATTGCGAGAAAGGGCCTTTTAAAGGGACGACCTTGTAACAAAGGTCCTTATAAAAAAAAGTGGCATCAAAGGTCCTTATAAGTCAGTTGGGTGGTGAGGAGGGGCCTTTGACCGAATTCCGGCCAACTTTCGGCGTTGACTTCTATTTTCAGGCCAAAAGAAAAACACGTGCTTGGCACGTGACTTCGTTTTTTTTTTTTTTTTTTTTCCCTTTTTCCTTCTTCTTCCTCGGTTTCCCCTTTTCCTCCATTAACACCCCATGCTCGTCTCTGCTTTCTTCCTTTTTTGGTAAAGAACAAGCATACTACCTGTATGCAAATTGATCTCTCAAATCACTTGGCTGTTTGTAATATTTCTTCAGATACTTTCAATAATAATTTCAATCTTAAATGTCAACTCAAATATACACCTATTTTGATGTTAAAGTCATAAATATAAATGTTTAAATTTAAACTAATAATGACTCACAAATCCAATTTGACCGGCAATAATATATATGAATTCCAATTCAACAGGATACATATATAATACAATAATATCTTAAGTAGTGCATGCACTTTTTATTTTTATTTTTTCTTTTTTATTTTTTTTCCAAAAGACTCTATTGAGAAAAAACATATTACAACCTAAAAAAGAGTAAAGAAACTAAGAAAATTACAACCCAACATATCAAACCAAACACGCAAACAGGAATGAGAATCCTTATGAACCATAGCATAACACTAATGATGACCACCATAGCATAACCTCCTGTGATGACCGTCATTAATATAACACCTTTGACTTCGGAGCCTAGAAAACCAACAAAAATTTACTGGATCTGTAATGTGGACCGAGCATTGCAAAACTAACCAAATAACTCGAGATGAATAGAGATTGTAGCTTGAACGCAGTGAGGAGAACTGAAACTTGCCAAAACACAAAAGCAAATTTGAAGAGGAAGCTGCTGAGAGTAGAACCAACCGAAAGATGAATGCCCCTGTTGAAAAAATAGAACCCTTGACACCACTTCACTCCCAGGTAGAGGTGATCAAAGTCAGCCCGGCCCGATTTTGGGCGGGTTTTGTGCAAAATTTTTCGGCCCAAAATTTTAATTTTTTTGGGCGGGTTTGGGAATGCGTTTTATACATATTTAGTTGATTTTTTAGGCCCGCCTGAAAAGCCCGCACGGCCCGACCATTTTAGGCGGGTTTGGGCACAAAAATTCCGGCCCAAACCTTGGCCCGACCAAAATTTTAATTTTTTTGGGCGGGTTTGGGCACAAAAAGTGGGTTTATTTTTAAGCTTCTGCCCGGCCCGAACCCGACTCGGCCCACCCAATGATCACCTCTACTCCTAGGGAATGCAAAGTATAACTACTTCCTAGGAGTCTGGAAAGACAACCAAATGAGTCATATTTTTTAATGACTCTATCATGGGAAACCTTGCACGAAAATGCAAGTTCCCTTCTAGCAACTCTACTAACAGAGAGTGTAAGAAAATGGAGGACTTTGCTTACCCCAAACATTAAAGTTGGGGAGCCTCCTTCAAGATGTAGATTAACGGTGATGACAGGCTTTGTCATCACAAACACTAGCAAAGGGATGATAGCAACCAAAAGAGTACTCTTATCATCCCTCGACTAAGACACAACAAGATAAGCAAACCCACCTTCTCCCTCATCAACACCAACACCAACACCTTCCTCCTGCATACCCCAAATGCAGGGTAAACTCTTCTTTCTCTTGCACAAACGAAACCACCCCCAGGAAGATATAGCAACCCAATGTCCTATAATTTCCAGAGAAACAAAGTAACACCTCGAAAAGGCAACCAACAGAACCAAAGCAAGGTTTTACCTAACCTTGTAACCTCTAAATCCAAGAGCAAAATTGTCCAACATGATCCCAAAGACAATACTCCTTTAATTAGAACAACCATAAGGAACCCCATTCCAAGACAAACAACCAGAGCTACAGAAACAACTTTATTAAAAATTGTAAAACTAAACACTGAAAAAAGCAAGCTACATAAGCCAAACATAACTACTAAACCAAATTAAGAACTACAACTAAAAGGCAATTCTAACAAAGTGAAATTAAGAGTCCCTGGAAGAAGAGTGCCATAAAGAACTACCTCACTGTCGGAATCGAAACCTAACACTAACAACAGCCTTCAAAGACCAACGCAAGAAGATCCCTCACCGAAACCCAACCTTGGATTAAGGGAGAAAACCCTAGCCTTAACTTCACCTTTACCGCCAGGAACATGATTAGCGAATTTCCTTTCGACGGTGGCGTTAAGAATAGCCTTAGCTTCTTGTTTCGTTGGATAATCGGAACCTCACCAACACCTTAATCAACCTCCGATGGTATTAAAGGAAAATCAGTACTTCAAACTTCCTAGTCTTCTTTATTGTGCAAAAAAAAAAAAAAAAGGAAACACAGATTATTAAAGGGACTATAGAGCAGAGGACTCGCCGGTGACAGCAAAGGAGTAAACTCCGGTCGCCGGCGAGCAGGGGAAGCGATGAGAAAAGCGGCTATGAAGCGGTGGGAAAGCTAAGAACAGAACCTTCCCTAGAGAGAGAGAGAGAGCTTTGTCACTTTTTTTAGTGCATGCACTCGATTGACTATAATTTGCCAACCTAAGTCATGAGCATTGATCATTTACTGAAGTAGCTAGTTTAGCATATCAATTACCTAAATTGACTATTACCCTTTCAAAAAAGAATTAACGTTTAAAGCTTAATACATAAAGGAGTTTTTCTTTAGAAGAAAAAAGAATTTGAAACTCAAAAAGAGCCCAAAAATACTAGAGACAATTTAAAAAAAAAAAACAATTTATGGATACACTCTTTGCGATAAGAGAATTGAGACATTCTCGGCACTTATTACTATATTCCGTGCTATAAAATGTGCGAGACTTATTAGTTGACTTTACTACAAACCTTCCTAATCTGTCCTTGATCACCAAGGAGGACATCAAGGGCTTGCATTTTAATCATAGCTCTTACAAATTTGGTATTGAATAGAGCACCATTTTGAGCAAATTGTCGAACAAAGCCACTCGTTAAAGGATTTCGTGACAAGGCTTGATCTATTGGTAAGATTCCCCGTCCTTTGAGTAGTTGATCAAAGTAAGAGTTGTCAAATTTGCTAGAGCTTTGTGGATTTTGATCCAAAAATGTGAAGTTATTTGATGCTGTGCCTCGGGGGCAAGTAAGACGTAGCTGTTGACGAAGGTTTGAGTCCATATTTAGGTCAAATTGGCTAGTTCCTCCGTAAAGTCGATCTTGGAAGAATGAACAGTGTGATTTTCCAACTGTGTGTCCACCACCTAATTCAATAAATTAAACATTTGTAAGAATTCTTGATTAGTGCCAAGAATTATGACATGATTGATTCAAAAAAACGAAAAAAAGATGAGAGTAAATATAACTATACCAAAAAGAAGCACCATTTCTTCGGGAGTAAATTTTTTTTTAGTGAAGGCTAGGATACTTTCGGTAACAGACCCAGATGGGTTTGGAATTCTCACATCTTGGGCATTAGATACAAGTCCATCTCTTCGCCCTGTTTGTACAGAATATACTGGTCCACCACCCTATTTAGGTAAATCCATAATAAGATAAAAAAAATGTTATTCACTAGATTTAAGAGGGCGAACAATGAGTATTTAACTTTAGAACATGATTATTAAGTTACCAGCTTAATAAGTTCTGTTGTTGCAATTGCGATAATGTCAGCACAAGAGACGACATCAGGACATTTTGCTTCAGCCACACCTTTCAATGTATCAATAAACTCGTACCCTCTAACACTCAAATTAGGACCCGCAGTTTTCTCAGACAATGGTCCATTAATTAAAATCGATGCATCACAACCCTATAATAAAAATAAAAAATTACACACAAAAAAGAACCAACTCGTAAAAAAACAATATTGACACTATTACGTATATGTATTAGTTTCTGCATCAATTAAGCTTAAAAAATTAGGAAAAAAAAATGGCCCATATGTGGTGCGGTTCAGATAAAAACCATGCAAAGCTTATTAGTGGATTTAATATTTATGCTAGTTAGGTTAGATGTAATTTAGGGTTCGTTTAGCATTGTTGTGGTTTTTGGTTTTTGGTTTTTTGATTTTCAAAATCATATAATATATGTCATATAATGAATAAAAAATTAGTCAAACTTATTAAAATCCTGATAATTTAGAAAACTGATGACAACAAATAAGTGGAAACACCCTTTTCTTGTTTCCTGTTTTTGGTTTTTGGTTTTCAAAAAAACAGAAAACTAAAAATAAAAAACAATGTCAAACAAGCCCTTAATGTTTGTTTGAACCTAATGACGAATGTAGGTTGGATTAAGATGGTAGTGATCGATTAATTCAATTAGGGCATGAAATTCTCTATGTAGATAGGTTGAACTAATTGTAAGGGCATGAAATTCTCTATGAAGACAGGTTGAATAAATTGTTAGGAAATTGTGATTAATGTCTCTAATATGCATTCTATGAATTGTATATAATATGTTAGGAAAGCCATTAATTAATTGAAAGCAATTCTTGGTATAAAGATGGCATCTTTTCTAGATGAGCATACTATTTTGATAATTTAGAGTGTAGAGATATATCTTTATATAAATAATATAAGTAGCTAGGGATTTATTGTTTGATTTCTTATCTGTGATATTAATAGCCTTAAATTAGTTTAGTTATATGCATGTAATCTTTCAAATTAAATTTATTTCTATTTACTTTTTTCATTGATAAAAGTTAACTAATCCATACTGTATTAAATAATCTTTTCTTTGTGGCCTGGAATCGATGCTGACTTACCATACTATATATTTAGAACGAGTAGTTAGGTTATTAATTTTACTAGTACGTATTTATCCCGTTCAATGACGGGTTGAACTTTTTTTCAAATCATATGAGTAATATTATAATTTTAATAATTTTTGTTAAAATATCTTTTATAATATAAACTAAAATTTTATATCTTTCTTGTTTGAAAGAAAATTGATATCATTTAAGTTAAAGTAAAATGCATTATGATTTGAATAGTTAATAACGAAAATGGGATTTTGATAAAAAAAAATAATTAAAAAAAAAAAACTAATGCAACCCTTCATGAAAAAAATTAAATTAAAAAGCAAAATAAATAATTTACAAATTAAAATTATAGAACAAAAAATAATAAAAATGACAGATTATTACAATCCTTCATAAAAAAAATTATAGACCAATAAGAATATGACCAATGGCATAAGAACACAAAAAGTTCCCATTATTAAATATTAGTATAGATTAGATGCATGATTTTTTATCAATTTTTTGTTCCTTTTTCGGGGAGATGACAGTGTTTTACTTAGTTAACGTTTTATTTTTGGTGCGATTAATTAAAACATACTCCGTATAAGATATATAATCCATGTATTTTATTTCATTTTCCTTGTTATCTCGGCTCTATGGAATATTATATTATTTCCTATGATAGTAGAGAAGTTATTGTGTACGGACTGCCGTACGTATAATGAGGTGCAACAAACTTGGCTGATATGTTTCATTTATTGGCTGATATGTTTTTTGTATTGGCTGATATATTTATTTTTTTGTTGGTTGATATGTTTTTTTTAATGTTTGATATGTTCCTTTTGTTGGCTGCTATGAGACATCAGTTGACTGATATGTTTCTCTAATTATATGATGTTTTTATTTTGTTGGCTGATATGTATATTTTGTTGGTTGATATGTTGCTTTTGTTTGCTGGTTTCATCCTTTTGTTGGCTGATATGTTCCTTGTTTTAGCTGACACGTTTTTATTAATGTCTGATATGTTCCTAATGTTAGCTTATATCATATATCAATTACCTGATATATTCCTTTTATTGGCTGATATTTGTATTTTGTTGGTTGATCTACGTAATTTACCATTTCATCCAACAAAAAGTAACACAAATCAGACAAAATTAACACAAATCAGATATATTTTACAAGAGTATAAAAAAATTAACATAAATGCAAAAAGTAACATAAACGCATCCCCCAATTCGACCACCATAACTACCATCAGAACCGTTGCTGCCCACGCACACAACCCCAACAACTCCGGGGGACTGGACTCCACCAAGGGGTTCGGTTCTTTCTCACACGTAATTTCGCCCCTGATGCCTATGAGATATTATAGGACCGATGAGAAGCTTTACTTACACAGAATTGTTGAAGAGCACAACAGAGAGCTCAATCCAATTTCGGAGTTGTAAGTATGGTCAGGAAGATCCAAATCATTTGGAGCAGGATCTGTAGAAAAAGCATCGTTTAGTGAAGCACCTGAATCCACGGGGGCAGTCATAATCAGCCCCAAATCGCAGACTCTTCGATTGTTTAACGTTTAAATTTCGATTCAATTATCAAATTTTGAGGGGTTTTGAGCTTCATCGTCATCAGAGTCAGAGACAGAGTTGTTGGTTGCTTTAGCTACTGTATCATCGATGATATGGTATCTCACTGCACGAAACATTGGGTACGGACTGTTGCACCCAATAGTTTGTGAAGATAGTATGATCTCATTTTAGTGTGGTAGTTCCCTTTCTTTGCGTGCATGGTAGTAGGATCAGTAGGATAGAGAACATAAATCTGTAGTAATTTTCTTGATGCGTATGTTGAGAGATCTTTATATACATCCGGGGTGCTAGTGCACCCAATGATAGATATACTATATTTTTTCATTTTGACGATTATTGTTCATTTACTTATCAAATGAGCAAAAAAAAAAAAAAATGCTTTTGAACCATAAATCTAGGTGTTTAATCTGTTTATATAAAAACTTCAGTATAATCCTTGAACTTGTCTTGGTACTCTTTGAAATTTTCACATGTTACATGTGTGTGATTGATATTATTGAGACATTTCTTTTCTATATATAGAAATTCCATAGTTATAAAGATGTTCTTTATGTTTTTGCATCTTCCCGTGCTAGCCATGTCGACCTTCTTAAATTAACAACCTTTTGCTACAAGCTTATGGCCTCGCCTAGTTGTGAGACTATGTTTACATACGTGGAATTATATTGGAAATCGTTTTTATTTGTATTGTTGTGCTACTTGAAGCCTTGAAGGAAGTTGCTACAATAATTTTTTTAAAAAAATGAATTATGGACTAATGGTTAATCGATTAGAGTCACCATAAATATGGTAGATTATTAATAGATTAAAAATGAATTAAATTTCAAAGATTAATATAGAAAAGAGTTGAAACTAAAAAGGCATAGGAGCCCAAATACAATAGATATAATAATAAATCAAACAACTTGGGACACACTTTCCCCTAAGAGAATTGAGATTTTCTCTGCAATTATTATTTTAATTTCCATGCTAAAAAAAATGCGAGTACGTCTTAGTTTACTTTACTACAAACCTTCCTAATCTGTCCTTCATTGCCAAGGAGGACATCAAGGGCTTGCATTTTAACCATAGCTCTAACAAATTTGGTATTGAATAGAGCATCTTTTCGAGCAAATTGTCGAACAAAGCCACTTGTTAAAGGATTTTGTGTCAAGGCTTGGCCTATTGGTAAGATTCCTCGTCTTTTGAGGAGTTGATCAAAGTAAGAGTTGTCAAATTTGTTCGAGCTTTGTGGATTTTGATCCAAAAATGTGAAGTTATTTGATGGTGTGCCTCGGGGGCAAGTAAGGCGTAGTTGTTGACGAAGGTTTGGGTGCGTAGTTAGGTCAAATTGGCTATTACCTTCGTACAGTCGATCTTGGAAGAATAAGCAGTGTGATTTTCCAACCGTGTGTGCACCACCTATTTCAATGAATTATTCATTAGTAAGTATTCTTGATTAATGTCAATGTATGTTCATAAAATGGTAATTGCCAACATGGTTCAATAACAAGATGAGCCATATGGTAATTGCCTTAAGTAATGTTGCAAAAATTGGAAGACACATTGTGTATTATTGAACGCTCTCTCTACTTCTTTGGTACTAAACTAGTTAAGATGTTGCTCTTTGTTGTTGTTTAATTGTAATTTGAGCAAATTTTGGTGGTTTAGCCCATTGCAACGCTTCACTTATATATGATGGGAAAAGGAAGTTCAAGTAATTTCTTATTCATGATGCAATATAATGCGACAACGTGCAAGTTTCTTTTGTTCTCATAATGTACGTAGTAATAAGTGATGAGTAGGCATTAGACTACATTTTCTTATTCGATCACAATCTAACACGAGAGTTTTAATCTTTATAAGCATATGATATGCGAAATTATTTAAACAAGAAGCTGCAATAATATAGATCGAGTAACAAGTTTAATTTATTACTTTGTATAATCGTACTAGAAAATACTCCTTTGTATAGATATATCGAAGTATGATAGTAGCCCTATATGAAACTACTCCTCGATTTATGGACTAATCTATGTGGGTCGGGCTTGAGTAGGATCATGTCGGGTTATGCGCTCTATAGGGTTATGGAGTGTTAGAGTCAAGTCAATTTCTAGTCGATTCAATTCGAGTTTAAGTTGATCCAATTCAAGTTCGATACGAATTTATTATGTGTTGATACATGTTTGAGTCAAATTTGGTTCAGGTTATTATTGGATCTGAGTCAATTTCAGATTGAGTCATTGTCGTATCAGGCTAAGTTTGATTTAGGTCATAATTGTGTTCGATTCAATTACCATTATCTGCTTAATTCAGGTATATATTAAGGGTGAGATTATTGTTGTGAAACTTGCAAATGTCAAAATATGATTGTGTTTATTAATTACTCCCTCCGTTTCATATGTTAGTTACATATACTATTTTGGGCGTTTTAAAAAGATCTACCCATATTGAATATATTCAATTTTTAACTTAATTTTTTTGGAATAAATTGGTTGTGGATTGATGACATGATTCTAAGTAAGAAAGTATCTACCTTAAATTATGCAATTATGACTAATGCTTTCCAAAAAAAAATAAAAAATAAAAAACCTATAAATGAAGCATATATATGCTGCGCTATATGCTACCTCTGTTTATGATACGGTTTAAAATTGAACCAAAATGACCTAAAATGGCCGCAACATATAAATGGATTTCATTGATAAAAGATAGTCAAACGACACTTACAAACAATCTCTAAGAAATCTAAAAAACAAACACAATTACATAACATCTTAAAACTAATTACATCGCATATTCAACCAACAATCACCTTTATTAAAAACTTCTGAAACAATACAATTTGGGAGTTAGCACTATTTCTGCCTGAAATCCACTGATGCATGGTCGTTTGGGTGAAAATACTCATTTGGTCCTACAGATACTTACGGTAATTATGAATCTCTAGATCTTCAATCCTTGCCAAACGAACAAGCAACTAAATTAACTACAATAGAAAATCACCATCTCAAAGATGAGATCTATTTATCAAAAGCAGTTAAAAACTTTTTCAGGCTTTTATCAACAATAAAAATACCAGTGTCCAGTGGAAGCTCTTATAAAAATTCACAATTGAGACCATGAGAAAAAAAAAAAAAAAGATGAAAGAAAAGAGAGAATAATGAAGGAAAATCTTTAATTTAAAAAAATATATAAAAAATAATTAAAACGAGATGAACTTTGGAAAACCCTTCTAGAGAAACCGTAGAGAAAAACGAGAAACCCTCAGCTCCTAAGGGAGAAACCCTCAGCTCCTAAGGGAGAAACCCGCAACATATGTACTTTTTTCCACTAATTTAAAGTTAGTGCTTTATGCAAGTATGTATATACTTCGTATATATCAAGCTATTTTATTCACATTTATGGTTTAATAATGCTTTTTTGGTTTTATTAACTAGATTTTAAAACATATTCTGACTTTAAAATACATATATTAATATTTGTCAGATAATCAAATATTCAATCAGTTATAAATTCGATAAAAAAATTGAGAACCGAAAACAGTTTGTTGCAACCAATTCTTAATTTATTACCCAAAAATCCAAAATTGAACCACTAAATCCAATAATTTCGATTTATTCGGAACAAGCTATAAGACACACGCATATTGCGTGTGCATTATAAGAAATCTATATGGCTCGATTCTCCTTTCTTTCATGAAATATTATCTACCTTATTCTAATTAAAAATATCTTTTAAAAAAAATCTAATTAAAAAATATTAGTGAGTTTAAAAATTGATGAAATTATAGAGGCAATAGAAGGGTATGACTTCTATTAAGATATATTTAGGGATATTAGGATAATATTTAGATTTGGATAATATACTTAATTCTAGGATATATTTTGTTATCTTTTATCTTGGTTTTCCTAGTTTATCTAGGGTTTAAGTTAGGGAAGGAAACCTCATTGTTTGTATTATAAATTGATTGATTATGTGTTAATGAAGACCAAGCCAAAGTTTATTCACAATTCATAATTCTACATGGTATCAGGCCTTAATTTTTCTTTTCTTTGCTAATCCATAGCCATGGCTGGAGGTGACGAACCACCACCTCCGAAAATTGAGCCCAATTCCCCTACGCAATCCCTCTTTACTCTAGAGCAATGGAAGGCCATTGCCGGTCTTGTAGGTAATTCTCAAATACCAGAAAATCGACTGACGGGTAAGTTTGATGCCACTTCTTGGATTATCGACACTAGCGCAACTCATCATGTCACTGGGAATAATTCTTGGTTGTTTGACACTCAAAATTTGGATTGCAACGTTGGACTACCGAACGACGCACAAGTGAAAGCTACTTTAATGGGTTCCGTTCTTTTGTCCGATACCATAACTCTCACCGGAGTTCTCTATGTTCCAAACTTGAATTGCAATTTGCTTTCTGTTTCTCAACTTAATGATGATTTACGAACTATTGTTCAATTTGATTCTAATGGATGTGTTATACAGGGCCAAATGAAGGAGCTGATTGGAACGGGAACTAGGAGAGATGGACTTTACTATTTTAGCAAACCGAAAGAGGCTACATCAAACTTAGAGTTATGGCATTGGCGTCTTGGTCATCCGTCTGAAAAAATAGTTAAGTTAATTCCGCATGTTAGTAATAATAAAGCTCATTTAAATAACGATTGTGAAGTATGTATGTATGCTAAACATCCGAGAGCCAAATTTCCTTTGAGTGACAATAAAGCTTCTAGATTTTTTGAGAAAGTTCATTGTGATTTGTGGGGTCCATATCGCCATACTTCGTCATGTGGAGCTCGTTATTTTTTAACTATGCCGATGATTTTTCATGAGTTGTATGGATTTATCTATTAGTAGATAAATTGGAGGTTTTTCGAATATTTATGTCCTTTGTTGCTATGGTTGATCGACAATTTTCACAAACAATTAAAGTGGTCCAAAGTGACAACGGTACGGAGTT